TTAAAGGAGTCAAAGTGAAGCTCAGGATGTAGCTTCAGAGGGTGCAAACCCCCAGCCTTGGCAGCTTCCATGTGGTGTTGGTCCTATGGGTACACAGAGGACAAAAACTGAGATTTGGGAACTTCTGCCCAGATTTCAGAGGATGTATGGAAACACCTATACATCCAGGTAGAAGTCTGCTGCAGAGGCAGAGCCCTCATAGAGAACCTCTGCTAGGGCAATATGGAAGGGAAATGTGGGATAAAAGTCCCCATACAAAGTCCCCACTGGGGCACTGCCTAGTGGAGCTACAAGCAAAGAGCCGCTGTCCTTCAGACCCCAGAATGATAAATTCACTGACAGCTTGCACTGTGTGCTTAGAAAAGACACACTCAATGCTATCTGTGAAAGCAGCTCAGGTGGCAGTGCTGTACCCTGCAAATCCACAGGAACAGAGCTTCCCAAGGCCTTGGGAGCCCACTTCTTGCATCAGCAGGACCTGGATGTAATAAATGGATTCAAAGGCGATCATTGCAGAGCTTTAAGCTTTGACTGCCCCACTGGATTTCAGACTTGCATGGGGCCTGTAGCCCCTTCATTTTGGCCAATTTTTCCCATTTGGAATAGGTATATCTCCAGGTTAGGAAGTAACTAACTTGCTTTTGATTTTACAGGCTCATAGGCAGAAGGGACGTGCCTTGTCTCAGATGAAACTTTGGACTATACACTTTTAAGTTAATGCTCAAAACAGTTAATATTTGGGGGGACTGTTGGGAAGGCATGATTGTGTTTTGAAATGTGAGGACATGAGATCTGGGAAAGGATCAGTGATGGAATGGTAGGGTTTGGCTGTGTCCCCACTCAAATCTCTTCTTGAATTTTGGTTCCCATCAACTCCATTTGTTGTAGGAAGGACCAGGTGAAAATAATTGAATCATGGGGGCAGTTTCCCCCATCCTGTTCTCATCATAGTGAGTTAATTGTCATGAGATCTGAGAATTAGGCACAATTTTTCTTTGCTAGGCACTCATTTTTCTCTCCTGCCACCATGTGAAGAAGGACATATTTGCTTCCCTTTACACCAAGATTGTGAGCTTCCTGAGGCCTCCCAGTCCTGTAGAACTGTGAGTCAAATTAAAACTCTTTCCTTTATAAATTACCCAATCTTGAGCAGTTCTTTATAGCATCATGAAAACAGGCTAATGCAGTGTCCATCTGAAATGTCTAAAGTCCTATCATACAAATGAATCACGTTTTTTTTTTTTTTTTCTCTCTCTCTCTGGTCTTCTTGGCCATGGAAGTTTGATAATACCCTCTTTATAAATCTAACACTGATCATCTATCTGGTAGAAGAGGGTCTCATACACTCAAAACACCATAAATGAATTTATCTTGGTATGCTTATTTAAATTGTAGAAGTCCGTTCACATGTTAATTCCTTCTTTATCACTTTATCAAAATGGAAGACAAATGAGTTCAGAGGCTTAGACATATGTGTTCTGTTTTGTTTTGCATTTATTAAAAAAATCTGACAGATACTGTCATGAAATACGCAAAAGAACTCAATTTTTTAAAAATGAAAAAAATATATTTACACATAATTGTTTAGGACACCTTGTTACTCGACCTCCCCACCTCCACCCATGTACTCTCAGTTTTGGCAATTTCGCTTACATTGCCCTTCCGGTTCTGGAGGCTGAAACAGTTTCAGTCTATTCGTTTGAATTGTGTTGAGGAAAAAAGTGGGATGGGGGAGGGTGCAGTTGAATATTGACTATACTTCTATATCTATGTTCTTACTGGCCCAAGTAACCTGCATTTTCTCCAACATCAGAGAAAGATTTTGCAAGGGTTTATAACCGGTATGCAAGCTTTAATCCTTCTTACCTGGATGGCAAAAATCAGATCTATTTAATCTACTGTCATCCACAAATTGGTCCATAGCTTCCTCAGATTAGGGATGGGAATTGAGGGCTTCTAAATTCCCATGGCTTTTGGCTGCAGGACCCCATGAAGCCTTTGATCAGTCTTGCCATCTTGTGGGTACCTGGGCATTAGATTGAGTTATGTTGCTAAAAGATGATTATTTATTTGCTGATCATTAAGCATATGGTGCCTACTTGGCTCCCCCTATCAAATTATGTCAAAATAAATTAATTGTGGACCTGTTTTGTTTTATGAAAAAGCAATGTGATAATCTTTAAATGTACCTTTCTAAACAAGACACAAGCTTACACTTTACCCAGCACAGTAACTTCTCTTGGTATTCTTGACCTAAAAGGAAGAAGTGTAGGAAAAACTAATATAAGCAGAGAGTTTATTTGGGCCAAGCATGAGGGTTGCAACCCAACAGCATAGATTCCAGTTGCCCTGAACAATATGCAATCTTATTAGCAACAGTTACAAGTATGTTTTCAAAGAAAAGGAAGAGGCAGTTCCTAAGTTATTTACCAAGAATTTACAGTAAAATAACATAAGCTATTGATTGGCTATAAATTGGATCAAATTCCAGGAACATGAAGATAACGGGCAAAGTGCTAGTTGGGAACAAAATAACTTTAAACAATTGTCCCCAGGTATGTGTGTGGAGGGGCAGTGTGGCACCCAGGAGGCAAGACTAAAGGCCCATACTTATGCCTTTCTGGGCCAGTGTACCTCACAGAACTCAAACTGTTCTATTTTTCTTTTCTCATTATTTTATTGAGGTCAGTGGTGGGTGCGTTTGCACAAAGCTATACATTTCTATCAGAAACAGTCACTTTCTAATGCAACAACCTAACCTACCCGTTCACACCACAAAGGGCTCTAGCACTGACATTTCAACTGTCTCCACAACATCACTCTCACTTTAGGATGATATTCTATCTTCCACCACACTTAATAGTTCCTCTGCTATACTTCTTAGCACTATTTTTCTAAGAAGAATTTCGTGTCTTTGACTGCGCTGTACATCTTGCTTCACTGCAAATTATGTCAGGTTTCAAAAATCCTGGATGACCTCTAAAATGTAGCATAATGATAATTCCCACTACCCCTCAGGGTGGCAGAGAAAGATCAGGGAAATCCACAAAATGAAAGAGGTCCTCCCAGGCAAAAGATGTTTCCCACTTTTTGAGGCCTCCTCACAAATATTTCCTAACCTAAATTTCAAATATATATTTAACTCCATTTGATATTTAAGTGTTTCCAGAGCCAGAGGATAAGAAGTTGTGATATCATTTTGCTAATACTGTCCATTTTAGCACAAAAAGGAGAACTTAGAGTCAATATTTAAGCTCCTAAAAGATGTTGGGTCAAATGAAATGTTCCTCACTGTTTCTTGATCTCTCTTTTACTCCTCTTCCTTGCAGGGTCTTCATCTCCTTCATAAGGGCACTCTTTGTTACCCCTTTAAACAAAATAAGGAAGTCTTACATTCTACCCAGATTTTTTTTCTGGCTCCACCAAAGGGATGGGTGAATTATGGCCCTAAAATTGGTGAGAATGATGGTAAGCCTTCAAACACCTTCAGTCTCCCAACCAACAATGGTCATGACTTGTTTTTCCCTGGATTACATGGAGAAAATCATGCCCTACTTTTTGGACCTGTTGCTTCCACATCTGCATGGTAACTATGAAACCATCCTAATGAACAGCACATATTAACCACTAAATAAAATGTAGACTTTGAATAAAAACACAGTTAAGTATTAACCAGCTTGCCCTTAAGCCAATTCCTTATAGCTACTTACAACTTGACTTTTAGCTCCTTTCCTTATAATTTCTTGCCGCCTAAAAGTCACATAAACATTGTCACAAGGCACTAACTTCCCTTCGTTGTTTCTGTAAGATAATATATTTAACATTAAGAAACTTCAAGTTTCTATCTAAAATGTTTTCCAGAACCTGGAATCCCATGGGTCTACTGACACCAGTCTGAAGACCCCCTCCAAGGAACTGACTCAGAAAAAAAAAATGCAGTTTTCATCTCTGTTTCATTTCATCTCCTACACCCCAACCAATCATCAGCTCCAGACCTTCAATCACTTACCTGCCTTTCTCTCAAAAGCCCCAGTCCTAGACCCAGCAGGGAGGTTGATCTGAGATTCCCTCAATCTTCCTCATTTTGCTGCCATCCAATTATTAAACTCTTTCTCTATTGTGACACCTACTATTTTGATGTATTGGTAAGTTACTATGCAACAGGCACACAACTCTGGTGAGCCTATAATAACTTTTTAGAGTTGCCTCTCTAATTTTGTTCCCAACATCTACTTCTAGGTCTATGCCTCAATTTCCATGGTTCTTCTATTCCTAGGTCTTTTTTAAAGACTCAATTTCTTCCACTGAGTCATGTCTCCTGAACATTCACTTGAGCACAACTTCACTTGCAGCTTTGCTTTAGGAAATATTCCATAAATGGACCTAAGAAACTCTTGCTCTTTTAATACCCATGACTACACAAAATACAAGGATAATTCTGATTAAAACTAAATTAGACTGTCAGAATGTTGATAATCGTTGAACCAAAGAATATTCTTTTGAAAAAAAACTGAGAAATTTGGAGAAGAGGATTATTAAGAAGTTTTTAAGGGAAAAAAAACTCTGAAAACTATCTTTTGGCAATTTTGTTTTTCTTTCTTGATAGTCCTAGTTTTCGCAGCTACTGAGAGGACTTTGGAATTATTTGGAGCATGAGTCTAAGAACGCTCTTATTGATTTGCACCAGTAATCTAATTTGATAGACACATGTCTAGTGTGGTTTGGAATTCAATTAATGAAAATCAGGCATGGGCTTTTTAGAAGAGAAACATTTATTTTTTTCATAGAAATAAAATGTAAATTCTTTTAAAGTGTTGGTTCGTTTTAATTAATTCAATTACTTAAGAGTCATTCATATTTTCATTCAGGTATATGTGAAACACTCTTTTTTATATTTACTCCCTCTCCCCAGCTTTTCATTCTCTTTTAGTCTTCATTTCTGTTTTGTTGTTACTTGTTGTTTTATTTTGTTGTTTTGTTTTTGAGTCAGGATTTCACTCTTTCTCCCAGGCTAGAGTGCAATGGCACAATCTCAGCTCACTGTAGCCTCCACCTCCCAGGCTCAATCAATTCTTCCACCTCAGCTTCCTGAGTAAGCCACCACTAACTAGGTATGGTGGCACACTACAGGCATGCGGAGAAAAATCTAAAGTGAATGGACGTCGGAGAGGGTGGTGGGGGCAGTAATAGCAAGTATGCTTGCTCATTACCAGGCACTGTGATAAGCTCTGGGAATACATAGATAAGTAAAATCCATGCTGTTTCTCACAGAACTCACAATCTATTTAAGAAAGTAGATGTCTATGCAAAAATTTTATAACTATTATTCAATGCGATTAGTACTACATAGAGGTATATGGAGTGTTAGTTATAGAAGAATAAATAAAAGAATATCTCATTTTTCCTGGAATGGTTTAAAAATATATCACAGAAATTGAATCGTAAATAGTACAGAAATATGGAAGAGTGGTTTGTGGTAGGACCTATCTTAGCCCACTGCTTCTCGGGTTTGGCCTTTCAACTTCAGATATGACTGTTCCAAGGACAGAAGGAAAAATGAACAGAAGCAAAATCTGAAGGCAGCTGTCAATGGAGATTGACTCTTATGGAGGCACGCCAATACACATTGGCCCAAATGTCAGAGTCAAGGATATCCAGAGTCAAGGATATCAAATGCAGGGCTGTAACACTCTCACAATTGCACCTGCAAATGAAACAAACAAGAGTGGAAATGAAGCGCATATCTTAATGTGGTTTTCAGGACTAGGGCAGGGAGATGGGCCCCAGCCATCTAATAACTGATATATACCTTAGGATTTTTTAAAAAATAATGAGTGATTTGTGAGAGGGGGAGAAAAGGAACAGATTACCAGTTTCCTCAAAAGGCAAATCTTCTAAGAAGGAATCTGCAGCCCGCAGCATCTGCCTTAGTGCAGAGAGGATCAGAATATCATTCATAGGGTTCAGTTCCAAATCTGAAGCATAATTTCCAACCATCAAAATATTGGAAATAGGGATGCCTAGCATTTTATTGACAATTGTGACCTGTGGAAAGTATATTTAAGAAGCGTAAGTCTTGTATTTAATATTTAAAATTTGACCAATTTTAAATATAATTTAAGAAAGAAATTAAAGAAGCTAAGGCTGAATAAGTTATCTTCAGAACATACTAATAATTCAGATCATTGCAGTTTTAAAGTGTGATATAGATTTGAATTACTCAAAGCAATTGATCCCATTCTTCATTTCCCTGCAAATGTGTCATGTGAGCACATATATACACACAGACACACACACAAGAATGATTGTGATATGATTACAAAAATATCTGATGATGATTAGCATTCTTTACCTTGCTTTGAGAAGTCACAGATCTACTCATGTTTAAAAAGTTGTCTTGAAGAACCTCACTGCAATTACTCACGTTAGTAAGCAAGGCTACATGTGCTATACCTACATCAAATAGAAAAATCAGTTACTTCATATCATAAATATCAATTTGTCAACAAGTTATTAAATATGTGTGAAAGCAACTCTAAAAGGTGATTTTGATATTTGAAGAATAAAATATTTCCAATAATTCTCAATATGGAGCCTGAAGCTTTTCTAGTGGAGAAACAATCTTTGATCTTTTTCCTCCAACATGAGAGATCATTTTTCAATGCAATTAAATTCATGCTAAACTGCAATTATCTACGATTCCATTCAAATTGTGTGTTTTAAATTGGTCAAGGGAAAAAAAAAGTGGTTGCCGGACTCTAGGGACTAAAAAGAACCACAAGAAAGAGAGGAAGTGAGGAGGGTTGTATATGAACATTTATGAGAGCAAACTGTACTGATGACACAGTTCTACTAAGGACCTACTGCTTTCTCCCTCAAACCACAGGGACTGGATTAATAAATCACACTTGACTTCTAAGCAAATCCAAATTCTGCTATGCTAACAACTACTTCTGAGGAAAATACAAGACTAATTTCTAAGGCCAGTCAAGGAAGCCCCCAAGACTCCTTCACCAGAGCTTTTAGTACCTTTGTCCTACCAAAATCTTGTGTTCCTTTTTTCCATTACTAAATTATTTCCTTTACCTTCTCTTCATTCAAGCTTCAAAGGAATAACTAGCAAAGTTGGCCAATAAACACTTAGTTCTGGTACAGAGAAGTTCTCAATTGACATCTACCATTTTTTTCAACCTCTGTTACAATGAACTTCTTCTCTTTCAAAATTAATGCAATGTCCTTTTAGAGGTCCTAAGTCAGCACAGTTAGTTGCATTAAACACTGCCATCCAGCACGCCAAGCACAATGTGTTGCCATACATCTTGCAAACTCATTTTGAAGCTTAGCACTTCTCTCTTACCTCAGGCCCTCCATAATTTTAGAACTGTTAAGTACTTATATATGCTTATATATTTACATTGTGTGTATCTAATGTTCACTACTCAGGCGTTTGTTAGACAGTTTATTAAGTTCAGATGCAAAACTTACTATCGCCATTTGATAAGAACAGAAGACTAAAGTTCAGTGAAATTAAGTTACCTTCCTCAAGGTCAAAGTTTACTACTACTTAAAAACTAGGGTCACTTAACCGAGACAATGCTCTATACATTAAACTGCATAGCACTTTTTGGAACCTAAATATGTGACCTTTCTATTAATATAGTAAGCAGTGAGACTTTGGAATATAAACACCCAAACAATTCTTTATATTAAAATCTTTTGGAAGATCGGTGAGAGTACTTCCAGTTGTGGATCAAGTGGTGTAGACTTTCCCCTCTTCTTTACACTAAATATGGCTAAAATCTCTGGACATTATACATAAATCAAACACAAAGATTGGAAAGTGCAGAGAATGCAATTTGACTAGAGACCTTGAGACCCAAGAAACAAAAAAGAGATCAGTTCTCTAGGTTTTCTTTTTATTTCATATGTCCCAGATTGGCTTTTAGAGACACTCACAACTGGAAAATGCCAATTAGAGCCAACAAAAAGAAAAAAAAAAAGTAAAGTAAAACCTGTTCCATCTAGTCAAAACATCAGAAAAAGGGCTGTGTAGCAAGACAGAAAATTTTCAGAAAATAGCCACACTATCCCAACCAAACATCACGGAATTCACCTTAGCCCTATCCATGGATATGTCCTTCCCTTTCCCAACCTTTAACCTTAGCCGAGGTAGTATCAGAGAAGAAAAAAACGTAGGGAGCCAGAACATTTATACCTGCACTATACTAACAAGGTCCCTCCTGATGGTGTCAATGGAGGCTACTTGGGGATCCTAGACTTCAATCCAACCAGCAGCAATGAGGTGCTCTTCTCCCTCTTTGACAGTGTCACGGGAGAACAAGTGAGAAGCTGGAACTTTAGCCTTCATTAACCTTAGATGCAAGGAGGCTTCTAGCCCCTGTGATGTCAGGGGATCCTATATGGGGCACCCTTTCTCTAAGGGTGTCAGACAAGGCCATGGTAAATCTGTACTTTTCATCCTACCAGTATCAGAATATGTCTATTAAAACACATGGTGTAAGATCCAGAATCACAGAATAAAATACCAAAAATATAAAAAACACAATTAAAAATCATTTGTCACATCAAAACCCAGGAAATGTTCAACTTAAATGAGAAAAGCTAATCAGGAGAGCTTGACCCTAACTAGATGACAAAGATGTTAGAATTATTTGACAAGGATTCTAAAGTTTCACCATCATGAAAGTGCATAAAAACCAAGTAGGAATATGCTTGAAAGAAATGAAGGAAGTGGAATGTCTCAGCAAAGAAATAGAAGATGTGAGAAAGAATCAAGCTGAAATTTTAGAACTAAAAAATTAATAACCAAGATAGGAAAAATAATAGATATGCTCAAAAGCAGAAGGGAAAGGACAAAGTAATGAACAAGTGAATTTAAAGATATAACAATAGAAATTACTCGCTCTGAAAAATAAAGAGCAAATAGGCACAAAAAAATAAATACATTGTGAGACTATAAAAAAAATCTAGAATTCATGTCACAGAGTTCCAAAAGGAGAGATGAGAGATGGCAGGGCTGAAAATCGTCATAATAATAAGACAGCTAGACTGAAAGAAACTATTTGTAAACCATGTGTTTGGCAATTAACTCACACTTAGGATTTACAGATCTTTGAAAATTCAACTTCTAAAAAACACAAATAACCCAATCAGAAAATTGTCAAAAGACATGAAGAGACATTTCACTGAACAAGCTATATGGAAGGCAAATAAGCACATGAGAAGATGTTCAATGTCATTAGTCATTAAGCAATGCAAGTTAAGACCCTAATGAAATATCAGTATACACCTATTAGAAGAGTTAAGAATTTTCTAACAGCAGCAATACCAGATAGTAGCAAGAATGCAGAAAAATTAGTTATCTCATGTATTGCTGGTGGGGTTGGTACAGTCCCTCTGGAGTGGTGATCTCCTTCAAAGCTAAATATACAGTTACTATATGACCCAGCATTACACTTCTGGAGACTTATCGCAGAGGAATAAAAACTTATATCCACATGAAACCTCAACACTAATATTTACAGGAATTGTATTTGCAGTAGCTAAAAACTGGAATATTTTTTGATATAGCATGGTTAAACTGTGGTATATCTATACCATGGAATACTATAAAATTTTTTTTAATGAACAATAAATACATACAAAATCTTGGATGGATGTCTAAGGATATTAGGTTGAGTCAAAAAAGCCAGTCTCAAAAGGTGACATACTGTGTGATTCCATTTGTATAATATTCACAAAATGGCAAAATCATGGAAATAAAGAAAATATTAGGAGTTGCCAAGAATTAAGGATGGTGGGGGAATAGTGGGTGCCATGAGGGAAATCTACAAAGTGATGTAATAGTTGGTTTTAGTGATGGGTACATCAATTCACACGTGATAAAATGACATAGATCTATAAACACACATTGTTAACAATAATCATTTTCCTTGATTCGATTTTCCTAGTCTAGCCACATAGTGTGAAGGTGGGATTTCCCTACTTAAAGACTCAGGAAAATCATACATGACAAAAAAAATTATGGCTACTCTATTCTTTAAAGACTGAAAATTAGGATTTGGGGTCTTTCTTCAGTCATGCCTGTGAATAATCTCTACCTGCAACGGCCACCGTGCCAGAGAAATCAGATGAAAGGTACATGGGAAATCTCTGTACTCTCTTTGCAACTTCCTGCAAATCTATAATTATTTCAGAATAAAATTTGTTTGATAAGCACAATGAGACTCACCACAGCTTAATACTTCTTTGTGAACTTTCTTGAATTTTGCCAGCATTTTAGAGGAGAGATTGTCAACAGAATTGATGTTTAAGACATAAGCCACACAGTGAATCCTGTCCTTCAGTGATGGAGAGGTGATAAAAGTAGAATGCTCAGGTGTAATTGGTTTATGGGGATTAAACTGTTATAAAAACATAAAGTAACATGCATAATTCAGAGAGCCTCTGTTTAATCTTTAAAGACACAGTTAATGCTTCAAATACTGTCACCTCTTACCTCCCCCTCCTGCCCCTCAGCTACTCTTTCCCCAAATTTGTGGCATCCCCTCTTTACTTCCTTTCCACTGTGAGCATAATACCATTATATCTCTCTTGTGAAAAAAAAAAAAAAACACAACAGCACTTCATTGCTTTGGTGAAAATGATAATTATCCATTGTAAGTATTGCAGGAAAGTATAAAGACTATCTTTTAAAAGCTGACTTCAAATATTTGTATCCAGAAATAAACAGCATTAACATGTGTTAAATACAATTTAAGGCTTCTCCCTAAGCATTTTGCATGCTTAAGTGAACTAATGGATAGAAAAAATAAAAGAAAGAAAAAAATATTGAAACTGCTAAACTAAAAGACTGTAATTTATTTTGATTTTACAGAAGAAAAACAAACTAAAGTCAAATAAAAGAAATACCAACTTTGAAGTTAATGTCTCCTTATCACAAGACAGTAATCTTTCTAAGATTAAGGAAGTAGACCATGAAACAATAGTTTGGAAATGTGTAGTTATTAAACTATATATTTCAATGTTGGACTGAATTGACTGATTCCCTGCTATGAAAAATTAGGGTGTTAGTATGTTTCTGATGTCTCCAATGTCTTCACTGCATTCCTCCTCTCTTTATCTTTATGTCTCCTTTCCCCTGACTGGATTATGAACTCCTAGAGGATAAGGCTTGTGTTATTGAACTATGTGTTTTCAGTAACTGGCTTAGAGTTTGGCACAAATATGGCTTATAATAAATGGTTTCTGAGTAAATAAATGAATGCATAGGTAAGGTTTCCAACTCAGCACAATTGGGAGGCAAAAGAGATTATTCTTTAGAAATTGAGGCTGATACCCAACACCTAAAGAAAGGTAACGATCATTATTAGCTTTTTTGACAACTTAGACTGCAATATCTCATTTAACCTTCTTATCCACCCTGTGAGATAGACACTATTAATACCAACATTTCACACCTAAAAAGAGACTAAGAGAGAAAGTGTGTATCTTACATATGGGTACACATGCATTAGTGGCAGAGCCAAATTTTGAATCTAAGTATTTAGTAGTGGAATCTAAGCACTTACAGTATAAAATCACATTTCAACACAAAGTGGTACTTGTTCCAATATTTTGTCTATGTAATCCAAAAAGTGCAAGAGATTAAGTGACTACTTTATTATTAGCTTACATTAGTGTGGAGTGATAAAAACACAACATCCCCGTGATCTTTTCCTGGAATGTGGATGAATAGAATCCTGCCTTTTGGCTTTATTTCTCAATGTTACAGAAAAGAACAATAGTCACTCTACTTTTTTATATGAATTCTTTTTCATTTAAAGTAGAATTGTATTGGGTGATGTTGAAACCACATTATGGCAGTTAAAATTGCCTTTTGAGGTTGAAAATTCAATTAAAAATACTGAAGAAAATGATTTGAAATTTTTTGGATATTGAAGAATCCTTACCTGATATCTGTCTGGCACACAACCTTTTAAGATGTGGGGGATGTCACCAATGCATAGTCCTACTCCCTCTGTCTCATCTAGTCCCATGGTGTCACACAACTTAAATGGCAGAGATTTTCCATTTTTTCCATCTTTGACAGAATATATCCTATACTGTTAAAAAACATATTACGTGTAAATGTTCATTCATCACCCAGCATTCAAGGCATGACAATAAGAAGAAAAGAGACTGATTAATATTTAAACACCATGGTCCTCAAGCAGTTTGGTCTCAAGACCCCTTTAGACTCTTAAAAGTTATTGAGAATCCCAAAGAACTGTTATTTAAGTGGGTAATATCTGTGGATGATTAAAATATTGGAAATTAATACTAAAAAAAGTTTAAATGTTTGTTTTTTAATTAAAAGGGAAATTATATGTAATTTATCATGTAAAACATGTATATATACACACATATATATACACACATACATGCATATGTGTGTGTGTATGTATACATATATAGTGGCATGTTTTGACTCCTTGCTTTTTATATTTTTTGTATCTACTATCAGTATTTGTTTTGTAGTTAACCATGATGCTTATACAAAAAAACATATTTATAACCAGTTATGTCAAGTTAATAACAGCTCCACTTAGAAAAAAAAAAACACTCTATTTTTACTCCACTCCTCCCCACGGTTTACATCTTTGATACCACAATTTACACCTTTCCATATTGCATGTCCCTTAACAAAGTATTACAGTTATTATTATTGTAGTAGTTTTGGTTCTTAACCTTCATATTGAAGATATAACTGATTTACACACCATCATTATAGTATTAGAGTATTCCGAATTCTACTGTATACTTAGTTTTAACAGTGAGTTTTATACTTCCAGATATTTTAAATTACTTATTAGCATCCTTATTAAAACTCTCTGTTATTTGCTTTTTTATCTTCCTATTTTAAGAATCCTCTCTTTTTCTTTGATATTTTATAGTTTGATTTTAACATGTCTTGGGTTAACATTGTTTGAATTAAAACCGATTGGGGACTTTTCTCTCACCTTTACCTGGATATTTACATCTTCCTCTAGGTTTGGGAAGGTTTTGCTACTATTTATTTATTTAAGCTTTCTATCACTCTTAATTTCTTGTCTCCTTTCACTCCTATAACTTGAGTATTTGTTCTTTTGATGCTAAATCCCATAAGCTTTCTGCATTCTTTTTCATTCTGTTTTTTTCTCCTCGTCTATATTTTCAAATAACCTGCCTTTAAGTTTACAGACTCTTCTACTTGATCAATTCTGCTGCTGATGCTGTCTATGTCATTTCTCATTTCGCCCATTGTGTTTTTTTTAGCTCTGAGATTTTTGATTTTTGTAATTATTATAACTTTCTACTAAATTTCTTATTCTGATCACTCAACATTTTTCTCACATTGTTAAATTGTTTCTCTGTATTTTCTTGAAATTTGCTGTGCTTCCTTCAAATAATTATTTTAAATTCTTCAGGTGGCTCATACATCTCTACTTTGGGTCACTGGTACATTATTTTCTCTCTTTAGTGACATCATGTTACACTGATCATTCTTGACCCTTGTGACCCTATGTCAATGTACAAACATCTCTGGAAGTAGGTACTTATTCCTAAATTTGCAGATCGCCTTTGTCTGGAGAAGTCCTTCAACAATCAGCCCATCCAAAGAGTCTGGGCAGGCTGCCTTGCATGGTCCCAAAGCCTGGGACCACGGTGACTTGTGCAGCACTGAGGCATGCCTAAAGCTCAGGACCACTGCAGCATCCCTGCCACTAAGAGCTGTTCACAGGCTGGGCCACTAATAACCAATCCATGGTGTGGCCCAGGGATTGAGTCCACCATGCAAGCTTGAAGTCTAGGGCCACATGGTCTCACTTGGCACCAGCATGGGTCTAGAGGCTCAGCCCTCAGATATCAGCCTAAAGTCTGGGGCCATGGGCTTCGACCCAGTGCTGGGTTTTACTGCAGCAGGCCTGATATTGGAGTCCGGGCAAATTCCTGTCCTCACTTCCCTCTTTTCCCCCAACCAGATGATAGTTCTCTCTACACTATGCTGCCTGGAGTTGAAGGGGTGATGCAGATAATGTAAAACTATCTTTCCTACCCTCTTCAATGTATCTTTTCTTATGATTATGCTAGAACCAGGTACTGTGATCTTTCACCTGGTTTCCTGAGGCCTTGTGAAGATATTTTTGTGTGTTAATAGTTGTTCAAAATCAAACTGATGTTTCAGTGGAGGAACAGTTGCCGGAGTGACCTGTGTGACCATCTTGCTCTGCCCCTCCTCCTCTTAAATGTTGTCTTAATCATTAAAAATACAATTACAAACCTGTCACATATTCATCAAATAACATTTTTATTTTTTATTTAAAAAGTATTTTTTTAAAAAATTGTAGAAAACAGTGTCATTGGTTTATTATTATAATTCTCTTTAATCTCTGGATTAAGGAAAATAACTGTATATATGAGATACATGTGGCTCTGATTCAATCTGTTGATATGTTATTTTAATTGAAGTATGTGAAGAAAATATGGCCTCTCACACATATGTATAATATGAGAGGAGGTAATAGTTCACTGTATAACTTTCAGGTATGAATATTCCTCAACATGATATATTAAAGCTCAACAAGTAATAACTTCTTAAAGGTTAGTTGTAATGTGGAATCTGTGACATTTTTGTATGCTGCCACATTAAATCCATTGGTCTATCTTACACTTTGAATATCTCTTTTACTCATGCATAATTTTAGCCTAATTTATTGTTCATTTTAAAACATTGGTTCACTGGGTTATCCGGATTAGTAGGGTCATTTTAAGTATGTTTATTAAAATAGCTGCCAAATATCCAAGTATAAATAAGTCTGTTCTGTCCAGTAAATGTGATGTTATATATTTTTTAAAAGGTTCAGTTAACAACTCAGTTGCTCCAGTGATTTTTCTAAAGACAACTGCCAATTTTCAATATGCATTAGAAGTACTTTATGAGCACTTCCCATTTTATCACACTGAATATTAAAATGATGTATACTCCAAAGTGGAGTTTAAATAAAGCCAATAACTGTAACTATTCATAAAGGACATTCTTGAGTAAAACTGGCATTTTGGTTTTTTCCTGTAAGTACAGCAATTGGGAGAAATATGATGACTGCTAGTCATGTTTCGTGCCACGTTTGATTCATACTAATGTGCCAACAGGTGAAACTATGTTGCATAATAAATTCAAGTGTCAATACAGTAGAAAAAAAAACAAAAAAAAATTTAGAATAATTCTAAAAAATTGTTTTGAATTCAGAGATACCCTTACAATGTCTCAGGAAACCCGAGTGGTCCACAAATCTCACTTTGAGAAGCACAACAGAAGCTTCTTTCCCAGATAAACACATTCCATCTTACTGCAAGAGTATTTTTTAGAAGAATTCTGAAAATATTTTATTTGTTGGTCAGATATACTTTCAACATACACACAAAAAATTATAGAAGATTTGGGAAGAATTACAAAGGAAAGGATTTCTCAGAGGCACTTTAAGTACAATTTTTCCATCTGTGGTGCTGGCAAGGGTGTAATATCGCTCAAACCAGAAGGAAAAGACCCTCTATGACCTATTGTAATCTGTAATAAAGTCAAAAGCTCTCACTGGGCCATGAAATGTGTAGGGGTAATCGTACTGAAGATTTTTATCTAGGAGAATAAGACCTACTAGTGCCCCAACACAAAAGAATTATACTAAGCCCTAGTGCTAAAGTACATTGTAAAATTTCAGGAACACCAATATGCGTCTTCACAGTTTCCTTACCATTAATTTGCTTCCTTTATAACTTCAGTTATTCAAAGAAAAAGGTCTTTAAGCAATAAAATATTTTATTTCCCTCCTAAAATTCCCCCCATATGTCTTCAGTTTAAATAACATTTGCATTTCACTGGAGTTCAGTATCTACATCTTCTCTTAAAACAAGACCTTTAAAATTTAAAACTTAAGAGGAAGAAATAGAAATTTTGTCTTGAATAGTACCTCTATTGTGGCATGTATCACAATAAATGATGCATATTTATTATCTGCATTGGTCTCTGAGATCTCTGGGCAATGAGACCAAGCATTATTTGTAACTAGATCTCTAGTTCTGAATGAACATTTAACAAACAGAAACATTTCAGTCAATGCTTAATTAATTGAAATTGTGTGGCAGTATCTAGTTATGACTTCTGAGGCTACACTGATATATTAAAGCCACTCAAGAGCATAGTATCTGGCCAATATCAAGAAATAAGATGTGATTCTGGAAAGTCCTAGAAAATTCTTTCAGTTATTGAATGTGACACAGAAGCTCAAATGAACCATTACTGTCTTATTATGTAGTCTTATATTATGCTAAATTTTACATTGATAATAACAGCATATTCGCTAACAAGTGATAATTTGTGGTTATCATAAAAAAAGACTGATTCTAAAATTTTGTTTTTTTCCTTTATTATTTTTTGTTTGATTGAATGATAACATTGATAAGCATAAACCAGAAGGAATTTTCTAGACAACTGTTGCATCATAATTTGTAGTTCTTTAGGGTAACAATTAAGAAATCTATATTACTATTTATTTCCTTAAGCATATCTTTTTGTAAATAAGATAGTTTTTGTAAGAGCATAGATTTACACTTCAATTTCTCCTTCAAATTTGACCCACCAATGTGAACTACTATTTTTGCTTTTCATGACCATGTCTTAGAGAATGGAATTATGTAATAAAATAAAATATCTTACATAATTCTCATTATTTTATTATGAGAAAATCATTTAAACTAGGTAAAATCATGTGGTACATGTGTAAAAATGAAAATCAAATATAATGGTCAAAGATTTCCACAGAGTTTTTCAATTTTTGTTTTCTACACAAACACTAAAAAGTATTCTTTATATAACTGCTTCTTCCATCTATAAAATTTGAAAGCTTCTCTGTATAATATAGCTCTGTGGAGGTGATTCTGATTAAAATTTTACTCCTATTTCCCATTTGATTTAGGATTTAATTGTAGATTTAGCATTTAATTGTATATTAGGATTGTCCTGAGAGAAAAAGGCAAAAACATAAATAATATAATAATTGTAATCTATAGAATAAAATCCTCAGGGAAATAACTTACCTGTTCAGTAATGCTGGTGACATCAGATCCCACGATGGCTTGGCAAGTCACATGGCCATGAAAAATAGACTTGACTGAATTAAAAAAACTGGACTTTCCAGACCCAACTGGACCCACCAAAAGAATACGAATTTCTGGAACCAAGTCTGCATAGGGCTTGTAATCTCTGATTTCTGCTAGAAGCCTATTTCTGTGCCTGTTAAAATGCAATGGTTAAATACAGCATAAGAACACCCAATAAAGAACACCACAAGTCACCTAGAGCTTTTTTCTCTTCTCTAAGAAGGATATTTTTTTATTACTTATTATTTTGATAATGGAATCTTCTATGATATGATTTGTAAATATCTAAAGTTATACATTTTGTGCTTAAAGAAAATGCATTATTTTATATCTGACTAAAGTTAAATATTAACCAGCAACCAAACCATTTTTCAACTATCTGTCTTAGACCACATAAGTATAATATTAGTAACATTGAAGATAAATTATTATTTTCACTAAAAATATATTAAGAAGAAATCAAAATAAAATATATACAATGTAGCTATCTAACTATAAATTGAAAAAGCGTTTGTTTTTAACATTTACTGAGGATTCTCAAAAGCTGTATCTCAAGGAAAAGATTCAGAGAAATTATCTAAAATGGTTATAACTTGAAAAATTTGAATCTAATGTCTAAAGTGGAAACGAAGTCCAATTGGTCAATGTCATCAGGTGGATTTTTAAAGTTTCATAGTTGGTAGTATCTTTGCTATTTTATATCAATAACATCATAACTCTTGTTTATCATTTCAAGTGGCATGATTTTTATCTTTACTACTTGTCAGCATTCTTTATACAATTGGTCTAAATAAAATGATTAGTAGATAGCCCACAAATCTAACTTACTCTCCAGCTTTCATTATCTTCTTTGCATAGTCTAGGTTATCCTTAAATCCTATAGGAATAAACATAGCATCATAAGGTTTTTAAACTTCTCTGGTTAAATGTGGTCATGTCTACTTTTAAAATAAGACATCGAATTCATTTGCATAACCCAGGGCTGAGCTGCTTAGTTAGGAGTCAGGGTTGGCAGCATAGTGAGAGGAAGAGAAGAAAAAATTATCCTCTCTGCACATTAACTTGCTCTAGAAACCCTCACTTAATTACGCCTAGAAGTTCAAAGGGTCATATGTTACAAGGGTCTGATCTTTGGGTCATATGTCAAAACAAACTAGCTCTAATGATAAGATCTCTCTCTCTCTCTCTCTCTCTCTCTCTCTCTCTCTCTCTCCCCCCCCCCTCCTTTTTCATCTCCATCTTCTTTTTCATCTCTATCTCTGCACATGTATTTCTCAACTTACTTTGCTCAAAGCAGCCTATACTTTCTGGATAAAAACCTCATAATTTTCATGTTCCCCATGTTTCATTTCAGAATTTATCAGAGGATAAGTTGGCATGAACCTGGCTTTCCTCTCACTTTCCTTGCTCTTGTAGAGCAATTATTGCCCTCCAAACACGAACATTAGAACCATAATGTGAGATGTAGGATTATCTAATTTCACGTACCTTCAACTCGAAAAACTTCACATTCCAAATATTTTTTGAAGCCGTAAAAGTCTAGTTTCAACTTTTTTGTTATCACGTCAGTTAGATAAATTGTGTTATTATATAGCCGTATAAGGAAAATATCCTTTTTCAAGGAACGACCAACCAATTCTTTATCACTAATTTGTGGTGCTATATTTAAGAGTAAAGTTTCTATTTCAGTGGCATCATCTTTCTTTTGAACTGAAAACCAGAAGGAATCATTTAGCTCTGCAGAATTTTCATATAAATTAGAATAATCTCCAAGCATAAAGGCTACAATGATATTGCAATTAATGTAAAACATTGTTACAGTACATCCCTGATGGCTGCATCTTTGCAACATAGCTTCAATACTATCTCCATGAGCACTAGACTTATAGAGAAGACTCAAAGAAACATTTCCAAGCAGCTTTCGCAGGTGAATTTCATCATTCCATGTCAATCTTGTGGTCACTTCCATATTTCTATATCTAATGGAAAAACAATTATATTTTGAGAAGCTTGTATAATATAGTCGCTTATAGCTTAGATTTTCGCTTCTACTTTCAGTCAGTTCTTTTTTTCACTGACTTAATTAAAACACATTATTTGATTAAGGCAAAAAATATAGAATGGCACAGTAGTAGGTAGATAAAAAATATATTATTTAGAAAGGAAAAAGTCATTAAAATGTTTAAATCAATTGACAAACTTCAGAATGTTAAAGAATAAAAAATCAGAATAGGAGTCAGCAAACTTTTTCATAACGAACAAGATGGTAAATAATTTTAGCCTTTGTAGGCCATATGGTCTCTTCCACAATTACTCAACTTTGCCACTGTAATGCAAAATAAGTCATAGGTAATATGTAAACAAGAGGACATGACTGTGTTCCAGTAAAATTTTCTTTAAAAGAGTATGTGGCTGGAACACAGGCCATCATCATCATATTACATTCATCATTTGCCAATGTATGAATTAGGAAATGGAACCCAGGAATTCATGTAGGAAAAAACACATAAAGAAACTGAAATATGAACGGAGATAACAGCTATAGAAGTCCTACAGCAGCATACTAGACTATTGGTCATCATGACAATTATTTCAATGAAAAAAACTGGAAAAGCAGGATAAACTATGAAAATACATGTGTTACAATGCTCTAAAGAGCAAACAAGGCAGTTAAGACATAGTTATTGGCAAAGATTTGGAGAAGTTAATAAAGAGAGATAAGATAAGCATTTGGGAGCACTTTTCTGATGTGCATCTGTCAAATTCAGAAAAGGCACGTGAGATGCTGAAAAGTCAAGCAAAGCTTTTACTAAACTCACAGAGTTAGGGAGATAAACATCATACTTTGGAGTGCAATAAGGAGAGTAGCTTGGAAACCTTTCCCTTAGACTACAGTTCGGGATTCTAAAGGGAAAACCAAAAACCTTATGTTCTCACTTATAACTGGGAGCTAAGCTACGAGTACGCAAAGGCATAGAGACTGATATATTGGACTTTAGAGACTCAGAAAGGAGAGGGTGAAGAGGGGCTAGGGATTAAAAAAACAAAAAACAAAAAATTGCATATTAGATACAGTATACACTACTTGGGCGATGGATGCCCTAAACCTCGAAATTCACCACTATATAATTCATCCATGTAACAAAGAAACACTTACACTCCAAATGCTATTGACATACAATTTTTTAAAAAATTTAAGAAAAGAGCTACAGGGAAGAAGTAAGTATGGACTGGAAGCAGACAGAGTTAATTTCCTACTCCAGTAATCTCAATCCTTGATTGAATTAAAGTAAATGAGAATTGCTAGTGTCCACAGCCATATGGCAGAAACAAAATAAATCTTGTCTGGATGAAAAGAACATTCTTCTAGCTTCAAATTATCTCTATGATTTTTTAAAATGTTCACTGACTCTCATTCATCATAAACAAGGTAAATCAAGGTAAATAAAACATGATAGAAAACCAAGAGAAACAGCACACAATAGAAACAAATCCATACTTATACTGGAGCTACCCATAGAGATTTTTAAATTACTATATTTGATATGTTCAAACAGCTAAAAAGCAAGATTGAATGATTGACAGTAAAATGAATACAATAAAAAGTTAAAAAGAAATTCAGATTTAAAAACATATATCTGAAATTAATAATTAAGTGAATACATTTAAATGCAAGGTAGACCTAGTTAAAGAATTACAGGCTAAGCATGGTGGTTCACACCTGTAATCCCAGCACTTTGGGAGGCTGAGACAGGTGAATCACAAGGTCTAGAGTTCAAGACCAGCCTGGCCAAATGGTGAAACCCCATCTCTACTAAAAATACAGAAGTTAGCAGGGCGTGGTGGTGGGGCGCCTGTAGTCCCAGCTACTTGGGGGGCTGAGGCAAGAGAATCGCTTGAACCCAGGAGGCAGAGGTTGCAGTGAGCTGAGATTGTGTCACTACACTCCAGCCTGGGTGACAGAGAGAGACTGAGTCTCAAAAANAAAAATCTATCAACTGAAGTATTGAGAAAAAAAGAGAAGAAAAAGAGGAGAGGCCAAAAGGGATTAAAGAAGCAAAATTGGTTAAGATATGAAACTGGAATACAAAAATAAAAGAAAAAGTATAGAAAAGATATTCTACAACCTTAAAAAGCAAGCAAATCTCAAAACATTTCAAAGTACCATAGTATTGAACAAGAGTATAAGCCAAAAAGTTTTTTAAAAAGAAGATAATTACTAGATTCCCTCATACATTAGAAAATAAAATATATACTTTGAAATAATACGTTATTCAAATAAGAAATCATAATGAAACTTAATTAAATGATAAAATATTCTTGTTAAAACTTATGGAGTGAAGATAAAATGCCATAAAATCATATATGTTTAAACATATGTGTTAGAAATGAAGCAAGGCAGAAAATTAATTATATAAATTCCATTCAAAAAGTCAGAAAAAAATACCAATTAAACCCAAAGAATGCAGAAAAAATTAAATAATAAAAATAAAAGCAAGAATTAATGAACAGAAGTATTAAGTATACAATAGAGAAGATTAACAAAACCAAAACCTACTTTTCAAAAGGAGTAACAAAATTTGTAAAACACTGCTGACACCGATAAAGGGAAAAAAGGGAAGAAATGTCCTAAAAAGAAAACAGAAGAGAAAATGTCAGTACAGATGCAATAAATGATAAAATGATCCCAATATAAACAACTTTGTAAAAATAAATTTGAGAATAAGTGGACAAATTTCGAGAAAAATGCAATGTACCAAAGCTGACATAAAAATAAATACAACATTTGGCTCTCTCATAGCTAAAATTCATAATTTTAAAATTAAAACTAAATTCATAATTAATTTAAGAATTGCCCCCAAAAAACTCAAGGATCAGAGTCTAACTGCTAAATTCTAACAAAATTTAAAGAATAAATAATACACAATCTTACACATGTTCTTCCAGAGAATAACTTAGATACCAAAACCTGTTAATGTTGTTATAAGAAAGAAAAATTACAGGTGAATCTCTTTCACAAATATAGATGAAAGGATCATCTGCAAAATATTAGCAAATCAAAGAAAGAAGGATAATACTGAGTCAAAGCATGTCATTATGAAATACAATAATATGCTGTCTCCAAGAACTCACTTAAACTTAAGGACACACATAAGATGAAAATCAAGTGATAATAAAGGTGCTTTTGCAAATGGCAACCGCAAGAGAGCAGGGATGTCTGTCCTTAACCCACACAAAATAGACATTAAATCAAAACCTGTCATAAGAGGCTATGAAGGACATCATGTAAAAATAAAAGAGTCAACTCACCAGAAAGATATAACAATTATAAATATGTATTCATCCAACATTAGAGCATCTAAATAAATAAAGCAAACACTGAAAGACTTGAAGGGATAAATAAACAGCAACACAACAAGAGAAGGAAATTTCAATAACCCACTTTCAATATTTTATCCATTATAAAACATCCAAACAGAAGATCAATAGGAAACAGAGAACTTGAACAACAGTATAGATCCAATGGACCTAATGGGCATATACAGAGCATTCCATCCAGCAACAGCAAAATACACGTTCTTCTCAAGTGTGTTATAGGAGCATTGTCCAGGATAGATTACATGTTAGGTCAAAAAACAAGTCTTCTTTTTTTTTTTTTTTTTTTTGGAAAGAATCATACAAGCATATGTGGAAAATATCACAATGTAAAATGTAAAAAGAAAGTGAAAATTTACCGGAGCACACTATTAATTTTTTGAGACAGAGTCTCTCTCTGTCACTAGGCTGGAGTGCAGTGGCGCAACCTCAGCTCACTGCAACCTCCACCTGCCGGGTTCTAGCAATTCTCCTGCATCAGCCTCCCGAGTAGCTGGGACTACAGGCACGCTCCACCACGCTCGGCTCATTTTTTTGTATTTTTAATAAAGACAGGGTTTCACCGTGTTGGCCAGGATGGTTTCAATCTCTTGACCATGTGATCTGCCCGCCTCGGCCTCCCAAAGTGCTGAGATTACAGGCATGAGCCACTGCGCCCGACCAAAAAACAAGCCTTAACAAATCTAAGAAGATTGAAACCATACCAAGTGTCTTTCCTCTCAACCTTCTAATGAAACTAGAAATCAGTAGCAGAAAATCTAGAAAACTAACAAGGATGTGAGAATTAAACAACACCCTCTGGAATAAGCAGTGGATCAAAAAGAAATAAAAAGGGAAATTGAAAAATATCTTGAGGCCAGGTGTGGTGGTTCACACCTGTAAACCCAGCACTTTGGCAAGCCGAGGCAGGTGGATCACTTGAGGTCATGAGTCCGAGAACAGCCTGGCCAATATGGAGAAATCCCGTCTCTACTAAAAATAGAAAAATTAGCCGGATGTGGTGATGTGCACCTGTAGTCCCAGCTACTCAGAAGGCTGAGGTAGGAGAATCACTTGAACCTGGCAGGCAGAGATTGCACCGCTGCACTCCAGCCTGGGTGACAGAGAGAGACTCCATCTCAAAAAATAAAAAAATAAAAATAATAATAAGAGGAAATCTTGAGACAAATGAAGATACAAACACATTTTAGATTGGTATTTGAATCACCATCCAATCCATTGAGGGCCCAAATAGAACAAAAAGTCAGAAGAAGAAGAAATTCTCTCTTCTTGAGCTGGAGTATCCATCTTCTCCCGCTCTCAGATATCTGAGCTCCTGGTTTCCAGACATTTGGATTCTGGGACTTAACACCAACAACTCTCCCAGTTCCCAGGACTTTGGATTCAGACTGGGAGTTCCACCACTGGCTCTACCAGTTCTCAGGCCTTTGGATCACACCACCAGCTTTCCTGGCTTTACAACTGGCAGATGGCAGACAGAGAGACTTCTCGGCCTCCAAAATCATGCGAGCCAACTCCCATAACAAACTTCCTTCGTTTTTTTGTTTTGTTTTGTTTGCTTTTGTTTTGTTTTTTTATGTTGCTTCAGTTTCTCTGAAGAACTCTTATTAAGTCAAATTGGTCGTCTCAATTGATACAGAAAAGCCATTTAACAAAATTCAATACCTTTTCATGATAAAAAAAACACTTAAAAAAAACAGTAGTAGAAGGAAATGACTTCAACATAGTAAATCCATGTATAAAAAGTCCATAGTTAACATCACGTTCAGCAGTGAAAAGCTGATAACTTTTCCTCGAAGATCAGGTACAAGACAAGATTATCCACTTTTACCACTTCTATTCAACGTATTACTGAATGTCCTAACCAGAGCAAGTAGGTCAAAATAAAAAAGAAAGTGAAAAGGTAAAAGCACTTGAATTACAAGGGAAGTAAAATCATCTCTGCTCACAGATATTATCTTATATGCAGAAAACCCTAAAACATCTACAGATAAAGTATTAAGTATTGACTAATTTAGTGTGTGATTTATCTATTGCTGCATAGTAAATTTAGAGGCTTAAAACAACACATATTTATAGTCTCACAGTTTCTCTGAGTCAGAAATACAGTCATTACTTAGGTTGATTCTCTGCTTCAGAATTTTTCATGAGGCAGTTATCAAAGTGTTAGCCATGGCTGCAGACTCTTCTGAATGTTTAATGGGAGAAGACCATGCTTCCAAGCTCCTGTGGTTGTTAGCAGAATTCAGTTCCTTGTGGTTGTAGATATGAGAACCCCATTTCTTGCTGATGATGATGAGAGGCTACCCTCAGTTCTCAGCTGGTTATTGGTCTAAAGCCACTCTTAGTTCCTTACCAAATGGGCCTCCCCCAACATGACCACTTACTTCATTGAAACCAGCAAGTGAGAGAATCTCCTAGCATAGCAGACACTATAATCTTAACATATCACATTTACCAAATTCTATCTGTTACAGTTAAGTCACAGGTTTCATCCACAGACAAGGGGGGTTACACACGGACATGAGTACCAGAAGGCAGGGACAATTATGAGCTATTTTACAGTCTGTACACCACATTGTAAAAGATTGCTGAATATGGTCAATATGTTAAAATTCTTCCTAGTGTCTCTCAGGTTTATCACAGCAACATTTTCTATTGTGAATTTCTATTAACTGTAGAAAACCTACCTGTCCACAAATGGATGAATGAATAAAGAAAATGTGGTATATTACACAATGGAATAGTATTTACCCATAAAAACAGTAAAATCATGTCATTTACAGCAACATGGATAGAACTGGAGAATATTAAGTGAAATAACCTAGGCACAGGAAATATCACACCTTCACACTCATATATGGAAGCTAAAAAGTTGATCTTATAAAGGTGGGGGTATCATGATAGATGCTGGGGGCTAGGAAGAGTGGTGAAGAGATGCAGGTTAATGAGCACAAATATACAGTTAGATAAAAGGTGTAAGTTCTATTAGTCAGCAACGTGGAGTGGCTACAGTAAAAAACAATGTATTGTATATTTCAGAGTAGCTAGAAGACTTAGATTGTTCCCAAAATATGGAAATAATAAATACTCAAAGTGATGGAAACCACAAATTCCCTGACTTAATCATTACACATTCTAAGTGCATCACCATATATCACATGTACCCCATAAATATGTAGTGTACTATGTATCAATAAAAATAAAATAAATACAAATATAAATTTTTTTAAAATTATTGTGTAAAACCATCTTTGCTGGTATATAAAAACAGAAGTAATTTTTAAAAAGTAATACTAGAGATATTTAGATACATGCATACATACACACACACACACACACACACACACACACACATACTACACACACACACACATACAGAAAACCATAAAAACAATCATGACAAAAACTTATGCCAAAGTTTAGC